TTTCCTTCCAACTGAGACCAACTGCACATTCCTTCGAGATGTCAAATGTCAACAGGCATTTCTTTAGACGCTGTTTTTCTCCATCTAGAAGTAGTCGTCAGAGTGTTAGATTTAAGGCTCTTTATGAGTCATTAAAGATCTTTAGGTACAGGAGCGTTTACAGACTTCAAGAAAGTATACGTCAGGGACAAAAAAATCAAACCCAGCCCATCTTACCTGGATCAGAGCCTCACGTTGTTGTTTTGAAATGTTTAAGGCAAAAGGAAAAATCTTAGGGAATGGAGAGGCTGACTGTTCATGTAGATCCTCTTTCGTCCAGTGAAAATAGACGTATATTTGGAGGTGTAAAAGTGAGAGGGGAAACACGGGCATGGCATATATGGCACCTGGGTCACGGTGCCAAGACCTAAGTAGGCTGATTTTCCAGGCTCGGGTCCAGATAAGTTATTCAAGACTGGAGCCAGGGAGCCTCTCAGAGTCACAGGATGGTAGTCCAGCAGACGACCTTGGACTTCACATCTTTCCATGTAGAGGAATGATCAGTCCAAGTTCTCATAGTCCCTCCGTCCTGGAAACGGGACCACCCACGCCCTAGGTCTCAGGACGGTTCTTGGTCTCGGGCTTCTTATTTCCAATGCGTTCTTCAATGTCGGTCTCTGGGCCAGTCCACCGGTAAGAGTCTTGTTAAAATAAGCAGTGAGATGCCTGCTAGATTTTGTGGCTAGACCTTGTCCCTCTCAAGCCAGGAAACTGCCACCTCCCTCCCGTGGCCTCGGGGCTAAGTCTGGCATCCGAGCCAGTTTGGATCATGTTCTCAGTCAAGGGGAAGCCAGCTCCTGGCTTAGGCCCCTGTAACTCCTCTGTGCTCTCATTCATAGGTGTCCAGGGATCTGTTTTATTTACTTGTTTTCGTTCTCGAGAAGGAAAGGCCCCTCCTCTCTTTAGGAGGAACCAAAGGAAAGTATGGGTCAGAAAGCGAATTTTCCAGCACAGTGGGCTTGGTGAAAACTGCCAACTTTGAACTCATGAAGTCTGTAATGATATGAGCACAAAAGTAACAAGTCTTCAAGATAGAGTATCCAGACATAAGTTCATTAAACTGGCTTTGGGGATTTCCCTTGATTACGTATAGTCAATAGATATTACAGAATACAGAAAATTATAAAGAAAATATAAAGTACCTATTACTCCAGCCACTCAAAAATTGGTACTAAGGTTTTTTAAAATGTGTATCCTCTTTTGTCAGTGCATATGAAATATTTTTAATATATTTTTGTTGATTTCAGAGAGAAAGGGAGAGGGAGAGAAAGATAGAAACATCAATAATGAGAATCACTGATTGGCTGCCTCCTGCCCTCCCCACACTGGGGATTGAGCCCACTGTGCTGACCAGGAATTGAACCATGACCTCCTGGTTCATAGGTTGATGCTCAACCACTGAGCCATGCTGGCTGTGCTATAAAATATTTTTAAATGGGCTCATGTTATTCAAATTGCATTGTGGTTTGCTTTTTCTCTTCATTTATCTTGAATATTTTGCTAGTAATAGCCTGATTTTGATGACTAGTATGCATTTAAATTAAGCTTGAGAGTACACATTCCATAAATAATGCATATAACATGTGCTTACCTCACATAGATTATGTATCCGCTCTCTGTCAGATACTGTGCTGGGCCAGTGCTTCCCCCACCTCCAGAACCTGGACTGACTGGAAAGCCCTAAGATGGAGTGATGGCTGGAGCAGTCTGGTCTCGAGCTGCCCTAGGAAGTAGAGACTTAGCTAAATGCCTCCTAAAAGATTCCAGGGTTTTTGAAGAATAAATGGATGAGAAGTAGAATGGGAAGAATGAGGTAGAATGGATGACAAGGAAAGGGAACGGAAAAGGCAGTTTGAATCATTTCAGCAGTAACCTTGGGACCCTCAGGTTCTAGATTGCTTCTTCCTGATCAAAACTTTGACGTCCCTGGGGACAGCTTGAAAGTGGGCGTGACTCCCAGCCCAGACGATGGGACACTGCGGTTACCGGCACAGGGCAGGGTTCCCACATCCCCTACCGACTAGCAGTGGGATCCCGGGTAAGTCGGCCTCCTGGGCCTCACTTTCCTCTCCTGTGTAAAGGGAATCATGTTGGTCCATACCTTATAAAGCCTGTTCTGACAATTGAGTGAGATAATCCATGTCAAGTGACCTCTAAAAATGCTGACATATGGTAAATGCAGGAAATATTGATCGTGGCTACAGTATCCACAGTGTGTAACCTTGAAATCATCAGGGGAGATAAATTGGTTCGTCTTGGAGCTCAGTATGTGAGAGTTAAGCCACATAGAAATGCATTCAGAAATGTGAGAATTCTTGAAAGGGGGAGTTCTCCATTAGTCTCGCATAAGTAAAATGTTGCTGGAATGTGCTGGAATGCTAAGTGAGGTCATGCTTGAGAATTTTGTCTCCTTTATAAGTGATGTCTAAAGGACTTGAGTAGTCTTATGGCATTGATTCCAAGCAGCACGCTTTCCACATTTGAGCATCTCTGAATCAAGATGCCTTATAAGCAATAGTGTGTCATATTTAACAGACTGTTGTTTTTTTCTTAGTAGTACCTAAAATAATACAACTTAAAATTGATGGCATCTGATATTTAATAAAATACGTCCATTTTTTTTGTTCATTTTGGGGCTGGGCAGGCTTTGGCCTGCTTTTTTTTTTTTTTTGTAGTTATTTTATTTCTAGTAATTGGAAACACCAGTATTCTCAAGAGCATCATTCATCAATGTTTAACTACAAATTTGTTTCCCAACCTCAGATAGTTTTCTATAATCTAAGCCATTTGTGGGGGGAAACCGAAAAATCAGTATTTCTGTCAGTGTTTTATATATTAATGTCATAAAACAAAAAAACACTATCATATATTAAAATTCCTATGTGTGTGTGGGGTGAGCACTTTACTTATAAACCCGACTTATTCTTTTGTAATGCTCAACTGATTGATCATCAAATGCTACTATCATATTAGTAATTAATATAACAATGTAAACACACATTTATACATACATGTAACAAATATAATAAGAGAGTGTTCCATTTATTTAACTATTTTCACTCATTAAATCTCTTAAAAAGATTCAATTCAGGCTTGTTGACATATTAAAAAGTTACAAAGTTCATTAATGAATATAAATTCAGTGCTATTTCCTGCCTATGGCTTTAAAGGTGCATTTTAATTTAATATTATGTTCTTCTAAAATTGATACATGGCTATCCATCATTAGAAAATGCCCATCTAATTATGAAGATTTTAAAACTACCTCATCCTCCAAAAGAAAAGGCACCTTTTGCCACTAGATACTGTTGTAAAATCTTTTAGAAGCTTGAAAAGCATATTACTTAAAGTTGTGTATTTTTTACACTTAAAAATTTGCAAATAATTTTTATTTTTTAACGGTTTATTTTCTAATTTTTTATTGTGGTAAAATACAAACAACAAAATTTACTATCTTGACCATTTTAAGTGTACATTCAGTAGTACTATGTAGGCATCATATGTCTATACAGTATACACTTTTAAACAACATTATGTAACAAATATTTTCACATATCATTAACTATTGTTCAATATCCTTTTATGATTGCACTAGAGGCCTGGTGCACAAATTTGTGCACAGATGGGGTCTGGCCAGCCCACCCTGATAGGGGCTGATCTGGCTGGGCAGGTTTGGGGGAGGGGCCCAGGCTGTGGGCCGGTCCCACCCTCTGGTCGAACTTTGGTGGAACTCCTGGTCGAGGGGACAATTTGCATATTACCCTTTTATTATATAGGATGATATTTTCTTTTTTGAACAACTATTCCTTAATTGTTGGGCATTTAGGTTGTTCCAAATTCTTTTAATGTTATGGAATATCAAGCGTAACACTGATACACTTGAGGTACTACTGAGAAACATGAGCATCATGGTGATGTGCCAAGTGAATTAGACAGCAAGATCCAAACCAGAGAGATTCCTAGCTGAAAAAACATAAAGGAATGATGGATATGAAAAATATTGTGTTAAAGTCTTGGTAGGACTTGGTAAATGATGGACACTCATGAGGCCTGAGTCAAGAAACACCTCAATGTTTAATTTGTGTGATGGGGAAAATTAATGCCACAAACAGAAATCATCGATTTGGAAGAGAGGCTTGTTGGAGGGTAACATTTAGCATGACATTTACCATGACCATGATGGTAGGTCAGCTGAACTGAAGCTTTGATGGGCTCTAAGGGTTAAAGATTTAAGTACAAGTCATAAATGAATAAAGAATATAATGGTGAACCCATGGCAATAATTGATACATTTGAGGTGACTCCACACAGGTGGAGGAAAAGCATTGAAGTTTTCAGGAGTGACCCACGTTTTTATGAAAAGAAAAGGACCAAGAATCAGTAAGAGAAAAGTTGAGAGAGAGAGAGAGAGAAAATGAGAACTCAGGTAATTGGGTTGTTGAGAGCCCAGAAGGAAGAGATCACTAAGAATAAATTCCACAATGCTAAGAACCACAGGCATCTATGCTGAAGACAAGCTATGGAGAGGTTAACTGTAATCTTAACAAAAATAGTTTTTCCCCACTGGTGATAGGACCCTAAGCCAACATTAGAGACATTTGGGGGCAAGTGGGTGGTAACTATGATTTTGAAAATTTTGTGGTGAAAAGAAGAAAAAGGGAATGTGCATCTGAGGCCATCTGAGGAGGTGGGCAGGTGGGCAGTGGGTGTGGGTGTGGGTGTGCCCTTGTACTGTGCTGCTGCTTCAGTACCTCCCTTCTCCTTCCCAGCTTGTCTGCTTCCACAAAGCCAGCCCTCCACCAGAAAGCTGCCTAAGAAATAGGAAAAAAATGCATGCATATAGGCAACTCGCCTTGTTTGCCTAAATAGTATTATTTGAAAAAAAAGAAAGAAATCCTCTACCTTTTTACAACCTTCAAAGGAATTATTTATTCAAGGGGGGATAAAAATCTTTTTTTCAGGCAACCACTGAGGAAATGGAACCCAACAGCCAAGATGAGAAAGATGGTGAAAACCTAAAAGAAGGGAATACAGAACTTACAGGTTTGTTTCCTAACAGACTAGTTTTAAGGTAAATCATGATAACTCTTAAGATATAACAGTCAAGAAATAGAGTCAAGAATTCTTCCTAAATGAGCCACAGAAAGGTAGACTCTAAAACTGGTGTGGGGTTGTGCTGCCACCTAGAGGCTTCCTGGGGAAATTCTGACTATGATTTATCTGGCGCTAAAAACCTTGCTTTGCTTTGTTTTCTTGAAAGTGTATCTCCATCCTCATAAATAAGATTATATGGCCCCAAATAAATAATGGTAAAAACTGAGGGTCCTATTTTAACACACAGTAACAGCAATACATGAGACAGATTAAAAATATATATCAGCCCTGGCCGGTTTGGCTCAGTGGATAGAGCGTCGGCCTGCGGACTAAAGGGTCCCAGGTTTGATTCCGGCCAAGGGCATGTATGTACCTTGGTTGTGGGCACATCCCCAGTCGGGGGCGTGCAGGAGGCAGCTGATCGATGTTTCTCTCTCATTAGTGTTTCTAACTCTCTATCCCTCTCCCCTCCTCTCTGTAAAAAATCAATAAAATATATTTAAAAATATATATATATCATAAAATAGACACTGAAATAATAAAGCTGGTGAATAGTTTAAATTAATAGTTAGAAAGAATAAAGTAATGCCACAGATAGGAATATTTCTTGAACGAATGCTTTTCAATATTTTCAACACATTTCTTATTTTGATAAACATAAAAGCCTTTCACCCTCCTCCAATTCCAAATTAGTTTTAAATGGCATGTTAGAATAAGTGAACTGTCATTACTAAAAATTCCAAACTAGATTATACCCCCTCATTCTGATAGGCCCCCCAGTGGGTGACTTTTCCACCCACTTTAGAGTGTGCCTACTTCTCTATATATCAAAGGGCACTTTGTTTTCATTGCATTGTGTATACTATGCAATCCTCAACACATCCCAGTTATGAACCTGTGGTGATAAGAAGGAACATTGGGATACAGAAGGAAGAGTCAGGCTGCCACACAGTCCTTTGGATGGAAACTCTGGAGATGTTCGCCCACCCAGCCCACCTATCAGAATATTTCGTGCCAGCATTTTGTCTCGTGCAGTGTTATTCCTATGCAAACTCTGGCTCTTATCAAGAACTTAACGTTTTTCACAGTGGGATTCTTCGATGTGTTTTATGTTGCTGGGTGTTTTTATAATAGCATGGAAGAGCCTAGAGAATACTGGCATCTTTGGCTCCTTTATACACCTTGTCACATGGTCATTCAACTTCTTTAAGTTTCTGACTGTAACTCCATTTCAGAGCCACAGCATTTTACGACTACTGTGACTCGGTGCAGCCCGACCGCGGCCTCCGTGGAGTTTTCCTCCAGCCCCAAGCTGAGGAACGATGTGCCAGAAGAGAGAGACCAGAAGAAACCGGAAAATGAAATGAGTGGGAAGGTGGAGTTGGTGCTGTCACAAAAGGTGAATTGCGCCGTGGATTAAAGCAGTTACATTTACATGAGCATGGCTTCACAGGGCCGTGGGCTGCCACTGGGACACTTGTTCATCATGAGGACTTAGTTTCTCTTCTCATCTTTTTTCTGTCTTTAACCTGTATTTTTCTAAATGCAAATATACTAGATGTTCATTGTAAATAATTGAAGTACATGCAGAAAGATGGATGCATTAGCCCACGTGGGTTGCTGTGAGGGAGTACCACAGAAGGGATGGCTTAGAAACGACAGACATTTATTTCTTACAGTTCTGGAGTCTGGGATGTCCAAGATCAAGGCAGATTTGGTGTCCAGTGAGAACACACTTCCTAGTTCACAGATGGACTTCTCATGTGTCCTCACTTGACAGAAGAGAGTGAGGGAGCTCCCTAGGGTCTCATTTATAAGGGCACAATCCCACTCATGAGAGTTCTGCCCTCATGACCTAAACACCTACCAAAGACCTTTCATACTGTTACCTTGGGGGTTAGGATTTCAACATATGAAGTTTGGGAGGCACAGACATTTAGTCTATAGTATATATTTTTTAAATTTATATTTATAGTGATGTACACATAAATATGTAATAAATCTATCAAGTAATATATGTACATTTATTTAAAATGAACTATAAATAAACATAGACATAAAGTAAGAGTGAGAAAAAGTCACAGAAACCTACCTCTCTACTAGTAATAATTGGTGTATATATATATATATATATCCCACATTCAAAGGCTGTTAAATTGCGTTGTTTACCCATATCTTCAGAAAAAAATCACTTCTGTCGTGGTAAACAACCTGCTTCCCTATTTATAATGGTCTGGCCCTCTAGCAACTTTAGCACGAAATTATAGCTAATTTGCCTACAAATGTCAGGTGTTCATAATAATCTGGCCACTCAGTGTATATATGCATTCTTTCTACATATATTAAATTTTATTTAAACAATCAATTATAATTATGAATAATTAGATGTGTATTTTAATGTGATATTCACATAAGTTATAAAGCTTTAAAGTTAGGTTTTGGTTTGTTGTGTATGAGCATGATTATTCTCAGCTCACTAAAGATTCTCCTTTCCATATTTAACTATTTTATAGCAGCACACTTCTGATGCCTCCGGATTTGAACAAGGAAATTGGAAACTTATTATTCTGATATAATGGGTGTTAACATCTTTTTGTAATTAACTTTCTTCTTTGTTTGGAGTCTCATTCTCTTCATAGTAATTTTTTTGTTTTCAGGCAGAGTCTAAAAGTTTTCATCTTTTATACCAATTGTTCTCAACCTTGGCTACCTTTTAGAACTTAAAAATATGCCAAGCACACTCCAGCTCAGATAAATCAGAATTTCTGGGGGCAGGGCCCAAGCACGTGTATTTTTAAAAGCTCCCCATGATTCAAATGGGCCACCAAGGTAGGGAACCACTGACTTGCCTATGGGCATACTGCCTGTGGTGATATTTCAACTTTAAAACTTAACCCTAAATTTTGATTTGACTTTAAAGTGAAAATTTTACCACTTATACATCTGGTTCTTCCATCATTTAGTCAACCAATATTGACTGTGTACCTACTATGTGCCAGGCACTGTCTACTATGTATTAGACAGTGGCTATTCAACGGTGACCAAGACGGGGCCCCTGGCCTTAGGGAGCTGAGAGTGCCGTGTCCTTGGTAGAGTCTCGGAAATGCCTATGGCCTTGATGCCTTTTGGAAATTTCTGGCTCTAGCTCCCCCCTTTTTATACATAGAGAATTAAAGAATGGTCTGGAGGCCTTGAAAGAGGAACTAAACTGTGGGAAAACATTGGGGGCAGGCAGGATTTCCTATCTTTGCAGGTTTTGCCTGATCTATGTTACACTTCATTATTTAGTATTCTTCCAAGTTGACTTTTTGTTCCATTTAAATCTAAACTGAAAGGAGAACTCTACTTCATAGCTAGAATTTTTTTTAATCAAACAGAATGAATGTCATAACTAAAGAATGTTCTTCTGCATACCTTGTCTGTGAACCTCACTTGTGAGCCATCTTTGGACCACAAGTGTCACATCTACCCTGTGGAAAAATTGTTTTCAGGGTCTTAACTCTGTGTGTGTGTGTGTGTGTGTGTGTGCGCGCACGCGCAGTTTGTTGTGTTTGGTTGTTGTTGTTCTTGTTGTTGTTGTTTGGGTGTTGTTGTTTTTTTATCAATTGGTACCAAGTACATACAGCCCCTGAATTCTGTTCTATGGACTCCAGGTTAAGAATTTCTGCTAGTTGATTAACAAATGGTATAATGGTCTTTGAACACACTGCTTTTCTTACACCATGTGAATTTCTTTCCTTTCTCCTTTCTCTCCTGTACAGTTAGCTCTTAGAAAAAAGGAGAGAGGTGATCACTGTGGCTGCAACAATTTTTACTTCACTTGAGAGTGTTGCCAAGTGCCCATGCACACACACTGATCTTTTTATATGGTGGTCATTTTGAGTGTTTCTGCTGACTATGAACTGTTTCATTTACAACTGGGCATTAGCTGAAACATGTTTTTATCTGACTTAAATATAGGGGAGATGGTATGAGGTCAGGATGTGAGGGTTGTCAACTTATTGCATGTTTAATTAATACTGAAGTTCATTTAGCTATCTGGTTGACTTATCTAATGTAGAATGAAGTGATTAAATGTATTTTCTTCAGGATTCCACTAGAGTTGGATATATTATTTATAAGAAAAAATAGGTGCCCAGCTAACGTGGCTCAGTGGTTGAGCATCAACCTATGAATCAGGAGATCACGGTTCGATTCCCTGTCAGGGCACATGCCCAGGTTGCAGGCTTGATCCCCAGTAGGGGGCGTGCAGGAGGCAGCCGTTCAAATGATTCTCTCTCATCATTGATATTTCTATCTCTCTATCCCTCTCCCTTCCTCTCTCTGAAATCAATAAAAATATATTTAAAAAGAAAAAATAGAATCCTATCAAGAAGAAATTGTAGACATTAAATCATCCTGAGGACCAAATCATAGATCAGCTTATGATGAACACTGGTCTCTCTATAACCTCACTTGCCTTATTGGCCATCAAATGAATCTGTTGGGAACCCAGCCTCCAGCCAGAGTGAATCAGAGGAAGTCCTGTACGCAGCTGGAAGGACATGAACTGATCCACCTCTGCTCCTCATTCAGATCTTTGCTCAGAGTCTACTGATTATTATTTTAGACATTAGTTTGGTAATCTGGTCTCTCAGTAATCAGTTGATAAGAAATAACAAATCAGAAAGAAAGTGTTTCTACCAAAGGCCATTCAGATTGGGAGAAACAAGATGAAATTAAATAGCAATAACAAGAAAATTCTACTTTTACAAAACAAATGTAAGAATTTGTAAATTGGGGACTATTTACCATAGGACAAGTAATCTAACATGCCTCAAAACCCCTAAGGGCATCATTGCTATGGAGCTGTTTGATGATGGCTATTGATGGCTATTTATAATAATGCTTCTATGTCAACAGGCAAAGTATATTATCTTTAATGTGTTTTGCATGAATTTGATGGGGGCTTGTGTAGTGTCTGAGAATAATGTCCATTAGAAGGTAATATTACCTTAGTATTTAGCACTTATGTAGTAAGGGGGTATTTTTTAGTCTTATATGGGACATCTTACATCCTGACATTATGTAGCATCAGGGAGAGACTGTGTGGTTTATCAATAAGAAAATGAGACAGAATCCCAAAGATGGAATACTATCATCTGGGTTTGGGAAAAAAGTGATCATGAAATTTTTATATGCTCTCATTTGATACCTCTGGAAAATTGACCTCTACATTAAAGTAGAAAAGCACGAATGGGGATAGAAAAATGGGGCCAATTTTCCATTTAAAAGTTAGATGTTTGGGCTTACTGACTTATGTGATTGCCGTGGATTCTTTCATTTTATTTTGCCTGTGTCTTTGCTAATAGACAATCCTTGCCATGTTTGTGTCCATTGCTCCTGACCCAGGTGGTAAAGCCAAAGTCTCCAGAACCAGAAGCAACCCTGACGTTTCCATTTCTGGACAAAATGCCTGAAACCAACCAGTTACATTTGCCAAATCTCAATTCTCAAGGTAAAGAGAAGGAAATGCTTTATTTTAGTCCTACATGTTCTCCTGGGCCCATCTGCAGTGAAATATTACTTCATGTGAATGAGGATTACTTCCTTTATGTTGATGTCCCTTTGGCCATAGTGTTTGCAGAGCCCGGTGGCTAGATTACTGATTTCAGAATAGAATTCTGGGGCTACATTCTCTGTGGCCCAGCCAAGGACCTCAGCTGCCAAGACCATTTTGCCAGCCGGGCACCATAGGCATGATAAGGCCTACACAAGTATTTGGTTCCTTAAAATAATTTTATTGTCTCTAAAATGGGAAAAAATAAATAACTTTAACGAAAAGTTTATAATCTTAATATTATATCAATTCCATTAATTGTTAATTATGTAGTCTTTATAAAATATCCACTTGACAATAATTTTAGAAGAAAGTCAGACTTTCTTACTTCATAATAATTGCTGGGTGTGCACCGAGAAATTATTCCACGTTGTAGGTTAAATGTATTATTCATAAGCAAAAACTTTAATCTTCCCCAAAACTGTTATAGCAAGAATAGATGTGTATATACAGTAGGTCCTCGGGTTACGTCGGAGAGCCAACGTAATGCGATTTTTGCCGTAAGTCGGAACCCACCTACATAAGCACCTCCGTCACTCACATGGAGCACAGACACAGAAGTAATGAAGTGAAACAGTAAAAAAAAATGTGAAAGAAAGATAACAATTCCTGACCTTTACTTGTGGGTAACAAATAATAAAAAACATAAAGCACATTTGTACATACGTCGAAATGACAGAACTTTTTTTTTTAATAAATAAATGGGAGATGGCGATGTAACCACAAAATGACATACTTCGAGTTTGACATAACCGGCGGACTGCCTGTATATATATTAAATACATGTATATGCTGAGGGTATATTTTACTATGTTTCATATGTTTGATATAATGTGTGGAGGGGTGGCCTCTAAAAAGATAGGAGTTTAGGGCCTATGGGAGTTGTAAAAGGCACTGACCACTGCAAATGTCTATGTGTCATGTGACACATAGTATCTTTTAGGTACTATGTCATTTGTACCTTTTAGGCCATGTATAGGTTGTGAGTTTATCCTGTACTATTTAAAAGCCCAACTTGAACCCTTTATCCTGGTGAGACATCTAGATGCCCACAGTCACCCCAAAAGGAGCCTTAGTGATGAGAGCAGTAGGGGGATGTCCTAAGAAGTCCATGATCCATAGGGACTATTCTTCAGAACAGACCACTGGGCTTTACTGGTGTGAGTTCTCTCTAGACATGAAAAAGCTAAGCTCCAGAAGCAAGAACTGTAAGGTATCTTGCTTTTCTTTTTTACTATACTTTCCCCAGTTTATTTTATAGATTGAGCAGTCCAGGCAAAGGGAAGATAGTATAAGCATATTGTGGCTGGGGATTCACTTTTTTTTTTTTACAAGGGTGGTCAGCTGTTTGGGGTAGAATCTGAGTTGGCTTCCATTAACCTTTGTTGAGGGCTGAGAGATAAGTTGGGCTCTCTCTACATAACAGGGAAGTAGTTGGGAAGGAATTTATCGGAACATGCACTGATGAGCACTAGTTTCTTAATGTGGAAACAAGTTCAATACTGTCTTCAAAACATGTATTTTAAATGTTTTGGTCCTACTGAAGGGAATTGACAAAAATAGTCCTATAACTAGGCCAGCAATTGGCCATATTTAGACAAATTTAAATTCTGCCCTATTCCTAACTCTTTGTCATTGTGCAGATAAGGAATGCAAAGAGGAAATTGTTATTTTTAAGGCATAATAGTTTTGTTGTCTGGTTCATGGAAGCTGTAATAACAGCTGCAGGCTCTGGAGACAGAACACACGGGTTCCAATCCTTACTCATTCAGATCTTACCTGTGAGCTCTTCCCCACCAAGTTCTCCGGAATCTCTAATCGTCACCTGTACACTAGAAATAATAACAGTACCAACCTCATAGGGGTATTGGAAGAATTAATTGAGATAAACCAAAAAAAGTGTTTAGCTCAACACAAGCACTCATAATAGAATCTGGTAACTATAGGATAGTAGCAAGATACCAGGCAGTAAAATATTATAAATGCTTTCCTTAAAATAAAGGGGTTTCTGTTGCAGAGATAGGACTTTAAGTAGTAATTTTCAAACATGATTATATGCCAGGGACCTGGGCAGGATGGGTTAAAGCACAGATAGCTGACCCCCCAGTCCCAGTCCCGCCAGGTCTAGGCTGAGGCCACAGTATTTGCAGAGTTCCCAGAGGGATATGATGCTGCAGATCCAGGGACCATACTCTGAAGACCACAGACTTGAAATATGTGTTTAAATTGTGCTCCAAAGACATCGCTGATAGATATAGAAATAACAGTAATATTTGTTTCGAATGTATAAATTCCTATCTTTCATGAAGCAAAAGGCCTCTAATAAATGTAATCTTAAAAGCTATGATTTGTCTTTATGTGGAGGGACAGGGAAAGTATAGGTCGTTGCCCAGATATAAAAAGGCAGTGCACCTGTAACTGACTAGTCTGAGGTCGCACCTCAAGTCCAAAGGAGCTATAGGTTTAAGAGGGGGAATCCGGGAGCCATACCTAGTACTCGCTCCCCCAGACAGTCTATCTCCCCCATTTCCATAAAGCCATCTGTTCGTAGGCTGAGCTTACAGGCCACTGGGCCCTAACGCTGTTCCACAGACTTCCCTTAAACATACACACATGCACAAATAGTCTTTAATTACTCTGAAAACCTTCATAAAATACATTTAAAGATGACAAATTTCCTTTTCTCAACTCTCCCAACAGTAGCAAGATACCTCAAATTGGTGTTTCAGGAAAATATGTGCACGTTAAAATGCATACTGGCTAGCTGTATTTCTTTTGTGCAAAAAAATCCATGTTGTGGGCAACCAATAATGTCTGGTATTTTTCTTCATTTCTGATCTCAGAGGGAAAAAATGCTTTGTTTCTGACACACAGTTAGCAAAGAGCTAGTTCTTTGATGTCAGTACCAGTTATACTAAAATTGGGGGGAAATTCACAGAATTTTACTTTGATTTTGAAAATCTAAAGAAATAATACTATTTACCTCTTTATTATCTTTTTCTTTAAAAAAACAACAACAAAGATTAGAAGCATTTACCAGGAACATGGTTCTCTTGTTAACTGTGTCACTCTCTTTATTTCCTGGTGACATTTGGCCTCTCTCTGTATGAAACTTCTCCATGTCAGACAAGGAGGGAACTGTCAATCAAGCCAGAATGCAAGGTGTATTAAAACCAGCACTAGTAGGAATAGATTTTGCTTCCTAGTGCTTAGTACTGGGTGCTAATTGATGTCATCAGTCTTCTTACACTGGTCCTGACTACTTTTGGTGATGGGTACCAACTGCTTCAGGGGTCTGCTTTATTCTGATCTTCTCATCCTCTTGGCTTACAAAAAAAATTGGTTTGAAGCTGACATAGGAGCCACACTCCACTGAGAGGATCAATGAGAAATACAGTACGAAGCTACTCACACTGTGTTCTTCTTTTTCTTTCTTCCTGTCCAGGGGATTCTCCCAGCAGTGAAAAGTCACCTGCAACTACACCTGTAAGTAACTCATGTTAAGGAGTGAGCTCATGCATTTAGTGTGATTTTAATTACAGAGTATTTGATTCACTTACAGAAGATCCCATTAAAAAAAAATGGGCTTCAAATGATTGTAAAAGAATAGGTGAAAGCCATGCATATGCTGCCAGGTGAATTAGGAAGATGTGGGTTATCATTATGCAGAGCTGTGATCTGGAAACAAAAGGGTAAGTGAGTCAGGGAAGTAAAATCTAAAAGAAGCAATTAAAATGCATGTGACAGTAGGAATTAGTATTAAAATATGCACTTTCTGTAAGCATTCGAAAATTTTTTTTTTATGAGAACAATCATTCAACATAGTTAAGTTGGCAGTAGGGCCCAGCCTGGACTCTTTCTGCAAGACCCAAGCTGTCTTTGTTGCGCCCCTTGTCGCAATCAGTACCTTGAGTAATAGTAACCACACATTTAGTTTTCAATTTTTTATTTCAGTGACATAAAATAAGCATTTGCTAGTTAAGGTGTCCAGACATGTGACACTGTCAAAGTCCATGCTGCTCGATTTTATCTGAACACTTTCTGCAGACCTGGCTCTTCTCTAAACTGGGTGTTTCCAGGGCTGAGCCTGTCACCCTTGCTCACCCTTGAAATTCCCGCCCGATTTGTAGAATTCAGTTCCTCTGTGGCTCAATCAACCAGCACAGAGCCCTTTGGGAGCAGCCGCAGAATCACCGTTGTGCCTCTGAATCTTCTCTGAACGTTATCTTCCTTGACTGTACCCCAGACTCTTCCCTTTCTCCCTAACTCTCCCACCCTCACCTCACTTTTTCTTTCAAGATTCCCAAGCCGTTTTAAGTGTCTCCCCAAATTACCCCGTCAAGGGGAAGGGAGGAAGTACAGTTATTGGGGAACCTGGTTTGCCTCAGCACCTGCTCTGGGCGATGGGGGAGCCAACTTTCAACACTGCAGCCCCCCTTTTGCTGATTCCCCAGGGACCGGCTAGGATTTCTCCCCCACACCCCCACCCTCCCGGACCCTCTCAATCTTATACCCTGTGGCCTGGGTGTCCGCTTTGACTCGTGCATTTTTCTCCCATTATTTCTGTTCACTGACTTGGTTCCCAAACTCACAAAAAACTTTCTTAAAAGACAAAAAAAGAGTCTGACTGTTTGCTGTGTGGGTTCCACAGCAGGGGCTCCCCACTGCCTGATCTCAGGGGACACTGGTGGGCAGTGGTGAGTGGTTAGAGAAGGCCAGTGTGGGCAGCAGCAGCGGCCTAAGAAATGATGCAGTTCCACAGTGCGGCAAGCATCACTTCTCACCAAACGCAGCTCTGCTGACATAAGCGGTCCCATTTGCCCGGACCCGGGATCAATATGCAGAATGAGTATCTTACGCTCCCGAGCGTGAATACATTTAAGAAATCGCTTCTAAAAGAAATGAAGCAAAAGCCTGCCCGTGCCAGGGGCTAATTACTTCATGTTTTCATTAGCTCCCAAAAGGTTCACAGAATCCTATCAGCCTCTTGGAAGGGAACCAAAGAGGGACTAAGATTAAATAGCGGTGCTGCCAACAAAGAGGACCTTTAGATAAACGAAGGCTCTGCTAGTTGTGTCCATCGGGTGCCGCCCATAGGCTACTCGTGTCCCTCGCCCTGGCCAGGCCTTGAGGACGTGGCTCAATTCTGATCATGTTTTTATTTTCTAAGCAGTTCAAGTTCTGGGCATGGGACCCGGAAGAGGAGCGCAGGCGACAGGAAAAATGGCAGCAGGAGCAGGAACGGCAGCTCCAGGTAAGAACTGCGTTCGCTGCCTTTTTTTTTTTTTCTTTTCTTTTTTTTTTTTATGCTCTCTTAATTTCTGTCGTATTAAATAGACTTTTAGCACAGGAAAAACATGGAATTGAATTCTTCTTAGAAATCAGTGAGTCTGTTAGTTCATTTTGCAGATATAATGCCCTGTGTCTAATTCCTCATACCAGAGGTTATATGGATGAACACAAGGAAAAAGCATTTCACTTAAAAAAAATTTTTTTTAACTTCCAAATATTGATTAATGGCCAACTCAGGCAGTCCTCACCTCCTTTGTTATCAATAAAATTCCAGTTCCAGTAGCAGTGGAAATGAATTGTCAACAGCTTTTTTGTTGTTGTTAATCCTCACCCGAGGATATTTTTCCATTGATTTTTAGAGAGAGTGGAAGGGAGTGGGGAGACAGAGAAAGAGAAACATCCATGTGAGAGAGACACAGGGATTGATCGCCTCCCGCATGTGCCCCAACCAGGGCCTGCAATCGAGGTGCGTGCCTTGATCAGAATGGAGCTGGGGCCCTTCAGTCCACAGACCGATGCTCTATCCACTGAGCCAAACCTGCTAGGGCTATTAAAAGCACTTCGAAAGCATCCATGTGAAATCAAATTTAGCCTGGCTCTTGTTTCTTAAGTAGAAATATTTGCTCCATCTTTGAGTAAAAACTTTCATTTCTAGAAAAATTCTGGAAGTAAATGGCTCATGTGCCTACTTGTTTTATGCCATGTTTGTTGGGTAACAGGGCTTCAAAAAGGAACCTAGTAACCTTAGGAAGTAGCCTCTGCTGAGTCCTTGAGTTGTGCCAGGATCTGTGGTTGGTGTTTGACGTCTTTTATCTAATTTAATTCTCATAAAACTCTTCAGAGTATATCTCATTAGCCCCCATTTGCAATTGAAGAAACTAAGACTCAAAGAAGTTAAATTAATAGCTCAAGGTCACCCAACTAACAAGGGTTGAACTTGGTTTCAAATCCAAGTTTGATGACTTTAAAACTCATGTTCTTTCCATGATACCCCCAGTAGTACTGATTTTACCCCCCCAAAAAAAATCATAAATAAAAATCATTTTAAATCTCATTCATTTTCATGGCTTTCTGCTGCTGTGTAGAAAGCAATGCTCCATGCAAGTTTATTTTACCTTTTTAAAAAATATTTTTGTTTTAATCCCTTTGGCTTACTTCCCAAGGGGCAGGAGCAGATCCATTTAGATAGCCAGCTATTTGTAGTGTGGCTTTAGGTCTGCCAGTTAAATTTTACACTTTTCAAAACTGCATGGAGGTAAATCTTCACTATCAAAACATTAGTAAGAACCAGATTCAGCAGTCACACTGGGACTTCTGGGGCCTTTGGAAGAGAGAGGCCAGACCAGCCCCAGCCATCTGCTGTTCTCTCGGAAATCAGGAGCCCATTTTCCAGCTGAGAGATGCACAGCCCAGAGTCAGGGAATCCACAGAGCACAGATAGCAGGCAAGTGCGCGGGCCACGCGGCACCCTGTCTGTTATCCTCTGGAAGGGGACCACGGTTACAGATGTGGGCATATGGCTCCTTCCTGCCCCACCGAGTTGTTACCCAGTGTGGTGGCATGGTGGGCTGTGGGCTTTGGGAAAAGGTGTTTGTGGGGAAATAGGGGTGGGGGGGGGGGGCAGACGTACGTCTTTCACGCCCGCATTACAGGTATCAGTGCATCCTTTTGGGGAGGGGAGCACGTGATGTGAGCTTCTAGAACCAATGAACCTAAAATGCTTCACTTGCTTTTCAGCTTTTGTGAAGTTTTGAGGTCTGTTTTCTCTATTTGAAAAGCCCCTGAAGTTCCTCTCTAAAACTTTTACAATGTTAGGTTTTATAGTGGTAGGTGTTTGTAACAAAACCTTTATCTGGAAAGAAAAGCCCGCCAGGGGTTGGCCAACCATGGCTTTGCCAGAGCATTCACATGAGCACCAGGCTCTCGCAATCCCAATACAGCCCTTCCGCTCCTAAGATAACGGCACAACAGGTAAGGTCTGGAGGAGATCCCAGCGCCTCCCCAGGAGGATAGGAGCCCAGACTTGTTTGAGCCTCAGAGAGAGGTTTGGCAATAATTAGCCTAAAGTATTTGACTGTTATGTCATACTGATTCCTTTGTCTCCGTCAAGTCAGGGATGCCATCCCCAAGCATTCAGGGGTGTCAGTTCTCATTTTAGGCATTAATTTTCATTGCCATTTATTCATTTCTTCCAGTCAGCGGTCAGGAACTCTGGTCACATTTTCAAAGCTGTTCTTATTCACAGTATTTTATTTTTTCCCCCCAGAAGTGGTGACTAGTGTTGTATTCTTTCTGGAAACAAGAAATGGCAGTTCTGATACTGAAGCCTTCTAGTGGACTGTTTAAAAGCTACTCTTAATTCAGAAGTTACTTAAAGCTAGGGACATTGCATTTGGGTACAATGGCTTCAAGCAAAGAGTAATTTGACTACTCAACTAATTACCATCTTGCCCACTTTGGACCTTTCTGCAGGATTCGTTTTTTTACCCTTTATTAAACTCTCCCAGCAGCAAACATATTTCTCTTAGCAGAATGGCAAAACTAGTGGTTTAGCTAACCTCCTAGGACAAAACTCAAGTGAAGGAAGAGTTTAGAATCTTTCAATCTTTTCATCTTTTCTCTTTTCGTAAGGAAATGCCTACTCATATCTGAAAAACAGTTCTACAAAACAACAGCAGAAAATACACAATGGGGCCCTAACTGGTTTGGCTCAGTAGATAGAGCGTAGGCCTGCGGACTCAAGGGTCCCAGGTTCGATTCCGGTCAAGGGCATGCACCTTTGTTGCGGGCACATACCCAGTAGGGAGTGTGTAGGAGGCAGATGATCGATGTTTCTCATCAATGTTTCTAACTCTCTATCCCTCTCCCTTTCTCTCTGTAAAAAATCAATAAAATATATATATTTTAAAAATACACAATGGGGGTAAAGTAGATTTACAGTTGTGATAACACAAAACAGTTTTAAACTTGCATTATTATTTATTAATTACTGTATTATTTCCCATACGGACAACTGTAAGCCTACTTTTGCCCCCACCCTGTACTGTTCTCCCTGGGATTTTTAGGTTCCTAACCAGTTTGTGTACCACACAGTGCTCTTCCCCTTGTGTTACATGATGGGGTTAGATTCAGATTATTACAAGAAGATGGTCTCTCAACATGGTGGCTTTGAGGGGGGAATATCCCAATGATGCGTGCAATGGTCGGTTCAGAACAGTCTCTGGAAATTCTGTAACAGGAGAGATACCAGAAAGAGCAGGACAAGCTGAAAGAAGAGTGGGAAAAGGCCCAAAAGGAGGTGGAAGAGGAAGAACGCAGATACTATGAGGAGGTAGGAAATTCCCAAGAAGGAATTGGACCTTGTGGTCCTAGTTCCTCAGAGGCTATCAAGGCTCTTTGTGTCTGTGGTATGTGTGTACGTGTGGCTGTGGCTGATGATCTTCACCCATAGCAGAGCCCATCAACCGCTTTAAAAGAGTCGTATCCTGGAGGCACTAAAAGAGCAAAATTCCACCAAATTCAGTTTGTGATCGGGTGTGCTGAGTCATGGTCAAGGGTGACAATATAATTATATCTGATCTCAAGTCAGAGAGTCAGATTTTTGATTGATCTTAGAGAGAGGACATTAAAATATCAATGTCTTTGTTAGTGTGTTTGTTTGAGCAAACATGTTTGGTGGTGAATTAATTTTATGAGGATAATTTTGATAATCAAGACCAAATGAGTCTTACCACTTCACTCACTCTATGGTACTGAAGAGATTTAGTAAAGAGATTTGGTACAGTAGGCTGAGTGCAGTGCTAAGGAATGGTGGGGAGGGATATTTGGTTTTGTAGGTTTCATATTTTTTAGATGAACAAACCAGACCACGTTAGATAATTTAAAGGGAGCTACATTTTATCTATATTATCTAAAATTTGCTTATGATTAATAACATTGTGAATTTTATCTTCAATAATAATTTTTGTACATAATCCAATCCCCACAGCATTTCTAATAAGGCTTCTTGCATCTCACTAACTAATTAATTTGTGAAGACTTTGTTTTCCTATTAAATCAAATGCTAATTTCCAAATCATTGCCCGTAGAGAGTATTATCTGATTTATGTGCTTTTAGAAAATAAGACCTTTTTTTAATGCCCTGCTTGTGTGCATATAATTCTGATGTCTTTTTTCTAAAGTTCCTTAATGAAATTTTTCTCTTGACAAATATGATACTTGATTTTTCCCCCCTTTCATTACTTCCCGTTCTTCCTCTTAGGAGCGCAAAATAATTGAAGACACTGTGGTTCCATTTACTATTTCTTCAAGTTCCGCAGACCAGCTGTCGAC